CGGCCTGTTCTTTGAAATTCCATAATCTCATTACATATCTTCTCAAGATATTCCTTTTTGGCCCTGTCCGTGGCTCTTTTCAATTCATTCCTCAGTCTCCTGTATTTCCTCCTGCCTTCTTAGCCTGATAATTTTGCATTAACTGTAAACTAAGCTTGACAGTAAAGTTGTTTGGAACATACCACATTTCCTTGATTCTAAGACACTGTTGACTGTTAGAAGAACCCTTGATTTAGTAATAAGTTTCAGGAAAAAAATTACTGCCACATGAAAGTGAGTAGACACTGGATTTAATGGGCACTGCACTGTCTTATTTACAAATAAATACACAGTTTACATGTATTCATTATCATTTCATAGCCTCTTGTACCACTCTTTCTTTGTTCCTTGCCGACTCTGTCACCACAGACACATCAGAGGTTTTGGGTTCCAGCAGTTCACTGGCTGCTGTGTGCATACACAGCTGTCAAGGACAGATTGTTGTGCACACATACAGTTGTTAGAGATTGGTGCTTCAGGTTACATAGCAATGGACACCTCTATGACATTACTCAAAATATAAGATTCTGACTTTCAGGAGTCATGTCACAATAAGTAGATTACAATAGGGACTCTCAATATAGAAATATAAAAACAGAAAATTTAAATTAGAAAAATGTACATGTTTACTGTCTTCTTCACTTTTGCATTCAATCTCATGCTCTGAGTCTACAGATTCTTCAGAGTCAATTTTTAAATCAGAGCAGTCAAGATCAGAATTGTCCCATAATGAATGAATGAATGAATGAATGTATGAGAGGTAGGCCTCCTTGGCCCTTGCACAGTGACCTACAGTGGTCTATTGTGCTTCCCCTTTTGATTATCTCCTCAGCAATCCTGCATTTTGAATGAAGCGCAGGATTTTGTACAATGGGGGGTCGAAATAGTCACTTGGTTCCATAAAGTATTGACCCAAGTGACATAAACTTAAATAAGCTAAGGCATCACATTCACACAGGATATGTGTGGCTGTTTCATTTTCTTCTTGACACCTCTCACAAGTGGGACTACCACTTAGTCCCAGTTTAAAGAGGTGTCCTTTAAGGTGACAGTGTCCTGTAAGTAGTCCCGCCACCCATCGTAGCTGGTTCCTGTTTAACTTCAACAGTTCCTTCGCTCTTTTAGCTGAGGGTCCTCGTATGAGTCCCTTTGCTTGCCTGAGTCCAGTCAAGGATCCGCACTACTGTCCCATAAAATACCACATTCTGTGCCATTCCAATGTTTTTCTTGCAAGCTTCTTCAAAGCAGCCAAGACCCATTCTCCACGTTTTGAAGCAGATGGCCTTTTGATCTTACCAGATGGTGTTAGTGCAAGGTTCTCAGATAGGAACCAAAGCTCATATTCCTTCCTTAAATCATTCTTAAATGGTATAATGCACAAAATATCCAGTGCCTGGAGCTGGATGATCATGCCACCAGCAATTACAAACAAGTAAAAATTCTTCCTCTCAACTTTAACCTTCAGTTCTTCAGATACATGTCAGTGAAAGGCGTCAAGACTAACATATTTGGTGTGTTACACACCCCAGGGCCTTTCTCAGGCATTTTTCATACAATCTACACCATCCAGTCAGCTATCAATTTTTTGTGCACACATAATGACATCTTTAGGATAAACTGATTCTTAGGTATAATTCTGAGATTTGAAATAATATAATGTGGTAACTTATGGTCATCATGAGTTATGCAAAGCATCACCATTATGCGCTGCTTTTCATAACCTCAGCTTCTAGTTTTAACTTCTTCTGTTTTCTCAGAGTACTTCGATTCCCCTGCCAAACTTCATTCCACCAACTGCTCCACAATCACCATCACCTATCACCTGGGACTGGTACAATAGGCCAGAAGTGGCTGCAGTACAAGGGACTTAGTCCCACCCCACTCGCAATTAAAAAAAAAATGCAATAGTGAATATAGGTGTAACAGTGAATGCTGACAGGTCTACCTTCATCACAGAGTATTTGTTAATGTTACAACTACTTGGTATTTTCAGCCTCCAGTTCCCCATCATGTGCTATATAAGCTGACACATGTAATGACATTTTTGATGGCAGAAATACATATAAATACTGTCTAAATCTCCTGTGTTACTATCTTTGTGTTTGCTGCTCAGTGACTAGTCTTACGATCATGATATCAATCCTTAGATGCCATAAAATGTAAGATTCATCATGATTTCAGAAATTTTAAAATATAAGAAAAATGAGTATTAGAATCAAGGAAATACCTCACTTATTTTAAGTATAATTTAATACAATTATCTTTTCCTGACTTACTTTGTAACTAACAACAGCATGCCTCAGCAACCCATGCAATGCTGCTTGCTGGGGAACACTCATCACAATACATGCTACAGATGTCAAGTTAAATTAAGTCATTAAAAGATGTTTACAAAAATAAGCATTCTTAAGTAATCAACACGTATCTGAGTTACAAAGGAAAAATAAACAATATGCAGATATACGTAATATTTCACATGGAACACCTATAAGAAATAATTATATTTTTATTTGTTCAAAACTACTATGAACCAGAAACAAGCAGGATGTTCTAATAAACAAAGATAATGCATGGGGAAGGAAAACAGGAAAAGTTCAGAATAACTTCATAATATCGAACAATAACCTTCAACATGCAACAATTATGTATCACAAATGGGAAAATTTGGCCCATGTGGAAGTTAACTGATAAATACATTGGTAATAGACTGATCAGTATTCTCTACTTCTTTTTTCAGTGTGTCTACTGCAGAAATTTCAAGTAGCCTTCCTGATGAAGCTCTACATACCACTGCACAAGATGTGACATCATTGTGCAACATATCAAAAGGTCAAAAGATCCACTGGATCATTGACTAAATTTTCTGAGGTAGTGCTGAAATTAGATTACCCCAGTCTTCGTTGTAACACCACATCTTTGTAGATTCAAAGAGTGAGCCAACTTACTGATGTGCAGGTTTTGTGAATTTGAACAGGTGTGGTTAAAGCATCCAGTTAAATAGCTGAGTTACAATCATGAGTCAGCAGTTTCATTTTTAAAATAACAGAATATAGATATATACATATAAATAACACTGAATCTGTAACAGGTACCCACTACTTCTGCAATGCAGTAAAAACTGGAAACCACCTCTTCCCATTTAGAAGCGTGAAGTAAAATGTGCATGTCTTGAACAAGGCACCTGCAGTAGGACATTCTTTCCTTCCTCTAGCTCTGTTTCCAGTACAAATCTAAGTTCTAAAATATGGTTTACTGCATGAAAACTTGTTCATCACCCAAAATTACTACCTCAGTAATATCTACAACATATGCCTACCTTTCTTGATTCTGTCAATATTTAACTAAGCATATAATATTCATGGAAATTGTAATTATAATTTATCAATAATTAATCAATACCATAATATCATGTTTTAGTAAGTTCTCTCTCAGGCAAAAGTTCATCAAAACCAAACAAGGAATTAGTAAAAAAGGTCCAACCATCCGATATGGGATACCTGTGATGCAGTGTGCTAACACCTAAAGTTCACTCTGCCAAGATAATGCTGGTAACATAACAACCACAATTAAATCATAAGGTGAATGGTGTAACCTCTGAAGATATATAGGAATTATTGTCCACTTGAAGGGGATGGTTTGTATAATATGTAGGCAAATGTTGGTGACTGACTATTGTCTATACCATATCCTCTTTTCTGACATACTTCAACAGTGCATTTTATGTTAAACTAAGTTCTCATATGATCAAACCATGGCAGATATTTCCTTGAATTGAGAGAAAGTTTATCCCGGCTATTTTTATTCTTCATCACTCATTAAGTAGACTCAAATTTATTTTGTTCTGAAACCAGCTTTCCTATGAAGCCACACTTATGCTCTATAATAACCAACCCAAACCACTACATCGATGGTGCCACAGCTGTAAACTGCCACCTGCAGACCAAACAAACTATCACCACCTTTGAGACACCTGTGCACAATGGGCTAATTGAGAATAACAAATATATTCTTGAACATGAATGCCTGAAGCTAATTAACTTGAGACACTATTCAGCAAATAAAACAGTGTTCAAATGTGAAAGAAATGTAACATACTGAATTGGAATTGTGCACCTGCCCATACTGTGGTATTCATTATATAGTGCCAATCCAATTCCAACATCCACTTTAGTTTGCTGGGTTTCTAACAGCTTCACTCAAGCTACACTTAAAAACAATCAGTCGAGTTTACTTGTGATTACATGCGCATGTTTGTGTGTCTAATTCTTTCTATATGAAGAATCCTTATAAACTAACTATGCATATTTCAAAATTGTAACAATCTGGAATAAACACACAATAGAAGCACAATGCAAACACACCTCATAGCACAGTTATTGTTGTCATGTAGTATATTTTGCATGTAATATGTCTGTGTGTATGTGTGTGCACCCACGCACATGAATGATTACTAAGCTCAAAGTCTATCACTGCAAAACAACTTCCTAAACACCTACAATCAAGTAACTAAATACCATGACATATTGAAGAATATAAATCACTGGCAACAGCTTGTTGTACAGAGCTTGTCTCCGTGGATTTAACTAAACACCATAGATAAACTGCAACCAACCCAGCATTCCCAACACCTCACAGCACGTATGTACGAATGAACAGGCAGCAGGCCCATAACCAAAGCATTTACGTGCACAAAATCTGATTTGGTGGTGAAGACAATGCATGTTTTAATTCACTAACAAGATAAAAAGGTTTGGACAGTTTCAAAGTGAGACAAAGATATTGTCCGTATATTAAAAATAACTAAATCGAAACTTGTGGACCAATGAACAAGGCCCAGAGCAATGTGGTGTCTGCACCACCAACTGTTTTAACTTCCACAGATGTTGTGCACAATGGAGTGATAATTATCATGAAAAGCGAGAACTGAAAACTTCGCAGGCAGACGAATGGGACGCACTTACGCGTAAGCAGCATTTGGCCCTCGTAATAAGGCAAGTAGACATGTTGGGCGTGCGTGGGTTTCCCATAAACACCAGCAGAATCCAACACGTCGGGGTCACCTTCAATGAGACCAGCCCCCGTCATCAGTACATTGAACGTGTTAGCTGCTGTTAGGCTTGGCATTTTATTGTAGAGTATGACATGTTACAGCAAAGACATGAGTTCCTATTAATTGCTGAGACTAAGTTCTGTTTATGCAACACAGTTCATGAGGAGGAATTCACACTTCCTCACAAGACAATCACCAACTTCTTTCAGTCTGAACTAAAACTAAAATGATACAAAACAACTCATCATAGACACTTAATGAATCCAACTGGATATATAAACATTTATATAACATATATGTATGAATTACACAATACACCACCACTCATATATTCACCTAAATCATATTTAGGGGCAAAATATTCCACTATTTATTAGGCATAATTTACCTATTTACGATATCATGAGATTCTGCATGGGCCAATGACCATGAAAGTGGAAGATCATGTTAGGAAACATACTAGTGTGAAAGAGTATAATATGCCAGGAAGTATACATGCTACAGTTATGATCTGCACTTAGAGAATATTTTGATTAAATGTACGGGAGAAACAATTCTGAGGCGGCTTAGTAATGGTGTCTCCCAAGACAAGCATTTGAAGATGGAAACAACACAACAGGCACTTACACTAATTCTACATGAATACTGCTGACTGTACAGTTCAAAGACAGAATAGAATGCAACTTGTAACATCACTGAAGCCTGCAAGCAGCAGAAATTTAAGTGCAGCAAAAGGTGGCCTCTACAAATAATGTGGAGGACAAGGTTTTCTTTACAGAGAAGAATTTCATTTTGCAAGAAGTTACCATCGTACTTTGTGGAAATGCAGATGAAAAGCCTGTGTATTTTGATATGGTACCCAATTACATAACTGATAATGTAGGAGCAAAATCTGTTGTCATAAAATCATTACATAATGAAGAGATGCCAGAGTATTACACGTTAAAAGCTAATATGAAACAACTGTACTGCAGATGGTTCTTGGTGGGGGCCAAGGTTCTGACACCATTCAGAATATTACAGCAGCCCTGTGTAGAACTGCTGTGCCAGTGGACCTAGGCAGTGGCAATGGATCTCAGGATGCAGAAAGTGCTGTACAGCTGATGAAATTGATAGAAGGGAGGACAAAGATGAAGTTAACAATGTTGGCAATGAACATCATAGAATCAGAAGTGAGTGTGAGACAGAAAATGGGAATTTTGAAGACAATGACAATCCAAATAAAGCCTTTTAACTTTAAGAAGGAAACCATCTCAATAAATGCAATCTGTAATATGTTTTCCACTATTTATTTTCTTTCATGTATTTGTAGTAAGAGCATGAAATTAATTCACAAAATTGTTCTTTCTGTGCAGATATGTATCCTAGTCTGGAGTTGTCTTGCTTTCAGAATCAGATTCCATTCAGGTATATACAGTAGTACATTTTAGTGCACTGTCAAAATGTGGCAGGTGTTATAAATTATTACAGTGAAAGAACTGTCTGGTAGAGAAGATACTTGTTCTTGTCTTCATACTCAAAATTTTTCCAAATTCCCATCTCAAACTGGTAGTCATTCTTGCCACATGCCCACTTGACAACGGTGTAAAATATATCTAAGTTTAATCTGAGGAATACTGTTGCCATGGGGTTGATTTTATTGTAGATTTGCATTAATTATATCCATGTGAATGGGACTGATATTAATTTAGCGCTGTAAATTTGTTAATTATTTTCTTTCATGTTGAGATGTGGCCTGTAGCACCATGCTGCTTCGAAAGACACTTCCAGTATTCCAAAGCAAACTGCTGTCCATATCTTTAGGGAAAATGTTCCACATTTTATACAAACTGCATACACAGTGGACACCACCTAATGTAACCATGGATAATGCAATAGTTCATGTAATGTTACAACTTTCATGAGTCCCAGTCAGACATATACTAATACATAAGAAAAACTATGTTTACTGTAATCATCAGTTCAGTTGTTGTTTTTGGCAGTTGGGAGGGGGTCGCTATTCTGCTTTATTGCAGCCTTGACCCCATTTGCAGTGGAATGATTACTAACATCCTAGTTTGTTCTTGAGCTCTGACAAGCAGAGTGTCCAGTTACTACTGCTGCTGCATCATATAGTTGTTGTGGTTGTTGGGGCCATTCCTCTGTGAAACAGAACCTGTACACCTACCAATCTGACTGCCTTACAGAAGTGCAATAACCTGTTTTCATTACATACTGTAATGGTGTAAGTGCAAAAGAAAAGTAAATATCTATCCCTTAAAGGAAAACTTGCCATCTTAGAATGGTTTTATAAATTACTGAAAATGCAGCAGTGCAGTTAAAAATTTGGCTACCTATTTTCTGTAGAATTAAAAAGAAATTGAGATGTTACTGAAAGGCCAATAAAACAAAATGAAAACTTGAAGTGTAAATGAAACTGTAGTGGAAAAGATGATCACACATGGAAGCAGGATTAAAAGTTTGGTTTACTGACATTTGTGAATGTCAATGTTGATGGTCCCCTGATGCAGCAAACAGCAGAACAATTTGCTAGGAAAATGGAAAAAGTCGGCTTTGTTGCAACAGCACAAAGGTTTCACAGTTGGTAAATAAGAGGAAAAATTATTTAAGAACACATGCGTGGTGATCAAAAAGATACTAAATAACAGCTGAAAGTTGGTTTGAAGGCGAGTGGCCTAAGGCACTTTCCGAACTCTCGCCACGTAATGCACACAATGCAGTCGCACAGAGCACAAATCAGCGAATTTCCAAAAATATTACGAACTTTTTTAATGACATTCAAAGAAGAAAAATAAATTTTAAAATAAATTTTCTTATTTTTTATCTGAATTTGAATTTATTTACATTCCACAAATCCAAGTATAGGCTGACACCATAGGATATGAAACAAGTCAAGCACAAATACATAACATTTGTACAATAAGAGTTTTGCTTGAAAATTTAATAAGATTATAATGCAGTATTAATATTACCATGCTAATTGGATACATATAGCACAGTCTGCAATTAACCAAAATGATACAGTAACATGCTTGGGAATACACTTTAGTTACACTAAAATGTTCATCTATAGAGTAGGAGTGAGTACGAATGTAATGTTTTAATGCTGTTTTAAATTGTGCAATACTACCAGGTTTTCTTTTTTATAAAACTTTGGGGGAAGCTATTGAACACTTTGATGCTGAAGGAGTGAACTCCTTTTTAATATAAAGACAGATTTGCTGAATGCTGGTGGAAGTTGAGTTTCTACCTCATGTTTATATTATGGATGTCAGAATTTAAATTGTACATGCTTTTGTTGTCTACCACAAATAACAGGAGTGAAGAGTATATACTGTGAGTGAAACAGTGATATTTTTAAATAAATCTCTGCAAGAACCTCTATTCTTGCTTCCTGTGATAATTCTAATTGCCTTCTTTTGCATTTTGAAGATTTTAATACTATCTGTAGAATTTCCCCTGAATATTATTCCATATGACACAGCGGAGTAAAAGTATGCATAGTAAACCATCTTCATTACTTCTTGAGACATGTAGGGTTTAATAGATCTGAGTGCATAACAGGCTGCACTTAGCATGTTTAGCACCTGCTCAATATGTAATTTCCAAGACAGTGTATTGTCTATAAGTAATAAAAGGGATTTTGTGTCACATGCTTTAAAAATTGTTTTGTTAGCACAGCTTATATCCAGGTTAATTTGGGGTCCATTTTTAGTTGTAAACTGTATGAGATGGACTTTTTCAAAATTTAATGAAAGACTATTGGCTTTCAACCAATTATTTAAGTATTCAAATACAGTCATTAATCTGTGGGGTTAAGTGTTGGTAACTATTATAATAGTATCAGCTGCAAACAGAATTGGTTTAGATTTATTCTTAACAAAATTTGGCAAGTCATTTATATAGAGAAGAAACAGCAAAGGAACTAGTATGGATCCTTGTGGGATGCCATGTCTTACCTTACCCCACTCTGAAGCTATCCAATAACTACAGTTTATGTTTTTTATTTCCATCCTTTTATATCTATCCACAAGGTATAATTTATTCCAATTATTAGCTTTATCAGTTATTCCATACCAATTTAATATGAGCAGTAAAGTATCATGATTAACATAGTCAAATGCTTTAGCTAGATCACAGAAGATCCCACCTACTAGTAATTTTTATCAAGGGCACTTATGACTTCATTATGATTAGATTTTTCCTGAATCCAAATTGTTCTTCACTGGTATGTTGTTTTTAATTGCATGTTCAAGTAGTCTGTTATATATTACTTTTTCTAGGGTTTTTCAGAAAGAGGTCATTATGGATACTGATCTGTAGTTGAAAACGTCTGTTCTATCACCTTTTTAAAATAGCAGTTTTACTACAGAGTACTTCAGGTGTGAGGAAAGGCCTCTGATAAAAGTGGTGTATGACATATATGATTTAGAGGTGAGGTAACATAAACAGAGCTGATTTTAAGTAATTTAGTGGATATTTCATCATATCCACATATATTTTAGGTTCAAGGAATTTAATGATGTACTATCACCTATAAAAAAAAAAATTACTTCAATACAGAATATGCTCCCACATTTTCTAGACAGTCAGCTCATAGATAGTGGTGAGATTGTCAGCCTTATGTACCATCCGCCCTTTAACCCCATGAAGATTCCTGGTACTCATTTCTGTTAGAGGCTGAGTTGACACCAAGGTCATAGTACAGCTGGAAGGGTTAGGTCAATTGAAAAATCCAATGATCTCATCAGGATTTGAACCTGAGACCTTCTGGCTTGTAGCATAGAGCCTCAACCAACTACACTACTGTGTACCCCGAAACTATCTATACTCATATATATATTTTGAAATTAAGTTAGAAATTTGTCTCCAAATCTTCGCTGTTAAGATAACTGACTTTTATACATTCCTTTTATATTCAAGCATATTAGTTTTGTTGTAGGTGCAGACTACAGGCGCACACGTCCACAACTGCCCAAAGTTTTTTTGAAATATTGGAAGTCAACCACTGAGCAGACAGCTTCCAAAGAAAAACTTTAGTTGTGAATAAATTTAATAAGAAGTCACAGGCATTTGATAAGAGATGATCCTCCACCTGGTTCAGTGAGACTTTAATAGCACTGCATTAATAAGATCTCACCTTAAAACGAATGTCTGAACTGGACTTACACAGACTTCCACACAATATTATCTACACCTTAGTTAGCAGAGGATTTTTCTGTGACTGTTTCACACCAAAATTGCATATAATATTCCTCTCTTGTGCTTCATGCCAAACCTATTTCAATCACACTTTGACTCCAGAAAACTATCCTGGATAGTACATCCAAATTTCACATCTGAATTAATCAACATAATTAAAAATGTAGGCAATAGCTGAATATCCAGAGCATTGTGTCGTACATTGGAAAAAACATACAGTACTATATGAGTCCACTTCACCTCAGACTATAATTAACATGTTACAGAGGGTTTTAAAATACAGAAGAAATAACTTACCACCCTCATCCTCAGAGTCCGACATGAAAGTTTCTTGCATTGTTTCAGGGGCAACAACTCGATACTTTTCCTCAGCTCCAGATGCAACATTGGTGGGGATGGAAGGCTCAGTCACAACCTTCAGTGTCTCTACAACGCTGATGTAGCCAAGCTTTTGGGCAATGGACAGTGCTGTTTGTCCTTGCTGTTTATGTAAGATAATGACACAGCATGAGGATAAAAACAGGCAATGAAGTTTCTAATGTTATATTAAGACCACTGGACGATAAGATATTTCAGAAAATGAAATAGAAGTACAAAACAGGAGCATTCAGCCTACTTCCAGAGGGAACAAAAATTGAATAGTCTGTAGCATATCACAATTTGGAATAATATTTAACACATCTCATGTAAAAATTTAATGGCCAATATCTTTGACAATGCCAATCATAATAAGTGTTTCATTCTGTTCTGCAATTTAGGTACTTACATTGGTCAGTGAGTTTGGTGGAGCACTGTTCTCCAATAATAGATTTACAATGGTGGTGTGACCCTGCTGTGCAGCTTGGTGAAGTGGTGTGTATCCAATACTGGTGCTCGCCTTCACATCTGCACCATGTTGTAACAGGAAACGTACCATGTTGATCTGTCCAAAGTGGCTTGCAACATGCAGAGGCGTGTAGCCTGCCTGTTAGTGCATAAAATTCATTATACTTCATCTGTTGCTATTTCCAGGTTAGAAAACATATGCACGACAACATTACAATTTGTATATTTTGTCAGTACACACTAAAGCACTAAAGCATACAAATGTCTGGTTTCAAATTAAGTGCCACAAAGGGAAAAGTGACAAACTAAAGAACTGTACCTCAGCAAAGACAAAGTCCTGACTAACAAATCAGTTTACCTTTACCAAAATCCATAAAATAAATTTTGTTCTTGGGGCATTTGTACTTAGTCAATCACAGAAAACTCCATTTCTACACATTAGCCAATAATAAGCACTTCTCTGATAATACTAATATATATCACTGTGTTTCTAAATTTAATCTTTCGCTAGTTATAGTACAGAATATACTTATGGTCCACCAAGTGAAATATACTGCAGGGTGGTTTCTGTTCCCGCAGTAACCCATGCGATATTGTTAGGTTAGCTTATGTCAGGCTAGCTTAGGGGAATCAAAACCATTACAGATTCCACTAACGGTATAAACGATGTTGACTCCCCACGTTATACAGCTATTACTGTTCCTAGGGAATTAAAACTGACACTAAAATGACTGGAACTGAACTACAGATGCCAAATCTAACGATATCAGCCGCATTATCGTGCCCGGAATCCGTACTGTATCAATGTGGTATTTTACCTTCAAACCTGTTTGATATTCGTATACATTTGCGGTGCTCAATGCTTTCTCCCAAAGTCAAGAACTTCATTCTCACTTAACTACTGCGGAAATGCGACTATGTTGTATTTAAATGCTACTCTTTCCTACAGCAGCCATACTTGGAAAATTCATGGCCATATGATATGGCACCAAATACAAACTAACTAAACTTGTAACACCGTAAGCAGAGTCCAACTTGAGAAGCTAAACAATTAATGAGATGTGAACAAAATTCTCCATCTTTTATGACACAAAAAGGTTAATGCAGCCTTCATACCAACCCGTCAATGGATTACCTCCTAAGCCAGATTAATCCACATCTTTCTCTATTTCTTTAAGATCCGTTGTAAAATCACCCTGAGAGCTATTCCAGTACCTTGCATGAAGTTCTTATATTTTCTGACCAAAATTGTTTAGACATTTCTAAAGTTTTCCACGTGTACCACATGCTCCACCCAACTTATCCTCCTTGCTTTGATCATCTTAATAATATCTGGCGAATATCATGAATTAAAAAGATCCTCACAATGCAGTTTCATCCATCATCCTGTCACTTCCCTTCTCTTAGGTTGAAATATTCTGCTAAGAACCTTGTCATCAGACACTATCATTCTATCAGTCTAGTAAGGATGTGAATTCAGAAGCTGAGAAAGCTACGGAATTGAAAATGGTTACCAGGCGACAGCCAGTGATGATAGAGCAGACTGAGAAGACTTAGTGCAAGCTGTAGTGATTGTAGATTGCATGAATTAGTGATAGCGCTAAAGTTACTTGTAGTTATGAACAGTAAGTGTACAATTAATCCAATTACCAATCCAAATCCTATCTATAGCCACTCATACATGTGAGCGTATGATATAATAAAAAGAATCTGTTTGTGGCTCATGTACTATGAAGTCATAGCTGCTGTTTATGTGAAGTAGTGCTATGGTGTGGAATATGAAGACTTTAAATTGACAATGAGAAACATTTTCAGCACTGCCAAGAGAAGACAAGTTGTGGCTTTGTTATACTCCTCTGAATAATCTGAGCTCCCAGGAAGTAATATCTCTGGGAGCTCAAATAAAAGGAGATACCCGAAAATATGCACGGCTCATAATACATTAACTGTATACTCACCTTGGTAGTGGAATCAACTTCAGCACCATTTTTGACTAAGATAGATGCCACATTAACTCGGTCCTCTTGTGCACACAAGTGCAGGGGTGTTAGTCCATTCTGCCAACAATTTAAATAATGTGACTTCATTGAAGCAAAATGAAAACCAAGATTATTAACCTATTACAAGACAATATTTGTAAAATATCTCTGCATTAACATTGTTCACAAATAAATTAAACACAATTAGGTAAAATTTGTCCATACCAATAATTAATTTTCCTTATTCTAACTGCAACAATTTAATATCAATTTTATACCCTTGAAACTCAACTGACATTTCAGAGGAACATATCGCTACCATTCTCAGGATCTTCTGGACTTCAGGGCATAATTTCCAAGAAGACAGAACTCTTCATAAACACCAATGAGGAAAACTCGTATTTAATAAAGAATGGTCTAGTTTGCAAGTGTTTAATAAAATTGAATTACATGGGACAGGCTTTGTATCTGATTTTTAACCATATTAATGAAGATGTTACTGACTTTTCAGTTGAACGGGATGGTAGAGCTAGTTCCATGTCATAGCAAGTTCATGCAGTTATGGATTTTAGAATGGTTTTGAGTGGAAACCCTGAAACATATTCCTGGTTATGACAGCTCCAAGGAAGAAGTAACATTCTAATACCTTTGCCTTGTGGTTGGCGTCTGCCTGATGTTCAATTAATAGAGAAGACATGTCAGTGTGGCCTTCCTGGGAACTCAAATGCAAGGGAGTGAAACCTGCCTTTGATTCAGCATTGGCCTTTGCCCCATACTCTAGCAAGGTAGTAGCAATATCCATCTGAAAAAAAAAAGACACATTAATAACAAAATTATGTTTATACAATTCATAATCATTCGATTACAAGCAGATGTAACATCATAATGAAGTAATTTACACATATGTATAATAGGATATATTTATAAATGACTGATTATGTGTTTGTCTTATGCCGGAATACTCATATACTCGTATATTATCAGCAGTACTTAAGGAAAAGACTAAGATAGCAACAATAAATAGCAGGAACAAGTGTCTATGTTTCAAGCTGTATTGCAGACTCAATCGTTGTCAGAAGAGTAACTCAGGATTACCCAGAAGGGCTATAATGTACATGTATAATAGCAGTTTAATGGAAGGGTTATCTGTGGAAATTTTAGATAGATATGGGAAATGTAAAATTTTCTCATTGAATATTTTAATAATATGTTGAGAAATCAATAAATCCTTACATAAAGAAATTGGCAATGTAACTACTTTTCATTCAAACAGAACTCACTTGATTCTTTCTAGCCGCTATGTGCAGTGGTGTATGACCATTCTTTGCAGTAGCATGGGGTGAAGCACCCTTGTCAAGCAGCAGAAGTGCCACATTCTGGTGGTCGTAATGGCTAGCCACATGTAAAGGTGTGACTCCATTCTGCAAAATTACAATTTTAAATTAAGAAGCACTATAAAATGTTATGAATGCTTACATTCTGCATAAGTAAAAGAAAGCAAAATTTGTCTTGGTAGACTTGAAAGGGTTCTGACGGTGGTGTATGCTGTACAGATCTATTCGGCTTATTTTGGACTCTATCCATCGTCTGGTATATAGAAGACAAAAACCACAACATTTTGGAGACTGGATCTGTCTCCGTCCTCAGGTGAATGGGGCTCTTTCTAATGGACCCAACTGAGTAGGTTTATCCTGCCCCAAACACCTGAGGATGGAGACAGATCCAGTCTCTGAAACGTTGTGGTTTTTGTCTTCTATATACAAGATGATCAATAGAGTCCAAAATAAGCCTAATAGTTCTGTACAAAATTTGTCTTATTAAAATACTTAAATACAACAGATTACTATGGTTCTTCATTTAAACGTTGCTAGATTGAAATAATTATGAAAAATTGCAAATACTGCAGGCCTTTCATTTCAGTATATACACACACACCTTTTATAGAACTGGAAGGCTCTTTGATTGCTTACATACTTGATAAAATCTACTAGAAAGTTCTCCTATAAATCTTTAAATACCCCATAAAGCTGCAGCGACGATGTAAGCAGATGTTTTCTTTAATTGGCATTGTAAAGTGGAGTTATTGTTTGTACCAATAAATCAGTAATTTTTCTCCATGAGTAATTACATAAAAATCTGTGCCTCATTAGCAATTAATTATGAGAAACATCTGCTTTCAAAAATAGTTTTCATTAAACAGGTATGTGTAAAGCAAACACATTTATGAAAACCACATGCCTATTTCCAGCCTACTTTAATTATTTTAAAAAGTTATAATTAGGCTTACAAAATGATCTTGTGTGTGTGTGTGTGTGTGTGTGTGTGTGTATGTGTACGCATGCATCTATAGGAGTCTTCCTCCAGCAACTTCAGATTGCCTGAACCGATTTTTATAAAACTTAGTATGTATATCGTGCCACCAGATGTCATCTCAAAAGCATAATTCTCAAATCCCTTCCTTCTTTACTGCCAGCATTCGAGCCTCTCGCATTTTCCATTTTTATTTCCTTACGTACATTACTAAATTTTCTTTCTACATGTCGTATCATACACTCATATTATAGTCAAGGGAAATTAGGCAATTAATTCTCCCAAGAATTTCATGTTCATTATGAGATATTTAAATAACTTAGTTGACTTGTGGTTATCAGTCTATTAAAGAGTTGCATAAATAAAATAAATTATACAAGACTGAGTTTCCTTTCTGATAGGTCTAAAATGTTATGTCCATTTCTTTTATGGTATAGGAACAAAATTACAGACCTTGCCCTGAGCATCAACAGGGGCATCTCGCTGGAGCAACAGTTTGGCAACTTTCATGTTACCGTACTTCGCCGCAAGGTGTAGAGGCGTGAAGCCCTTCTTGGTGGTAGCTGTTAAAGAAGCTCCGTGTTCGAGAAGAACGGACGCCACCTGAAATGAGACACATTTAGTCGTAAAGTCAATAAGGAAAAGAAAGCTACCAAAACAAAGCCAAAGTAATTAACATTAAATTAACTGGGTTTCAATCATAAAATTTTGTCAAGTACTGATCCAGCCAGGCGACAGGTCTATATTAAAATGAGAACATCTGAAAAGTATCCATAACCAAAACAGGTCTAAGTGATAAATGCCAAGTACCGTGGTCTCTGATATTTCAAGAAAATTCTTCACTATGTAAAAGAGCAATTTTTTTTAGACTGAGAAGTTCTCAATTTAGAATGCCCCAAGCGGGACTCGAACCTGAATTTTTAGGGTTTAAATTGTTGAAGGCAGTACCTGGCCTAGATTTTGCGGAGTATTTACGCATTCTATTTATTTATTTGTATATTAATAAACGACCTTTGCTTAAAAAGTAAAGCTATCCCTGTAACAGGCCATGGAGGCCCATAGGGTTGTGAAACGTTCAAAGTAGCACATTATCTAGACAATTGGCTCACAGATGACGGCAAGGTTGTCAGCCTTAAGCGCCGGCCGCCCTTTACCCCCAAGTACGAGTATATTCCAAGGATATTCCTGGTACTCATTTCAGTTAGAGGCTGAGTCGACCACAGGGCCATAGTTAGCCTGGAAGGATTAGGTCANCTTCATCGGGAATTGAACCCACGATCTTCCAGCTTGTAGCATAGTGCATCAACCAACTACGCTACTGAATGCCCCCCGACTCTTTCTAAGTAGCAGGTTATATGGGTTCGAAAAAGATAAAGGGTAATGGATAGAGAACGGATTTTTAGGCGATAAAGGTAGTTTTTTTTACGAACTCTGAAAGTAAAAATATGCTCTAAAAATCAAGAACATTTTTAAATGGTCATGATTGCAAGCAGTACTCGCCAAAAGTCGTCAGTACCTGCAACACAAAGTGAAGCACTGTTGCAGTGAACCACGGAAGTCACCTTCAAGATGTGTATCGCAAAATCTGTGTTGGTTAACGAGGAAGAGTAATTCGTATCACAAAATATACTATCTATATAACATGATATTAGTCTTGCTAATTTTTAACACACGACGTCACTAACGCTCAAACTTTCACGACTTCAGGATCAACAACTGCGATAAACATGAAATCTCGCACGTGATTCAAAACACTTCATTCATACTGAAATATGAGTGGATTTTTTGCTGCATCAGGATCTAGACAGTTATTCTTGTTCAATTTGTCTTGAATAACATTAATTCCTTTTGTTTTCTTTAAAAATGAATCTGTGACCTTTTCCAACTTTGCTGTAGACTGTGATAGAAAAATCAAATTCGCATTACTATAGCTCGAGTCAGTTTTTAGCAACTTCCATTTTCTTGAGTTATTAAATTTTTCTTAAATGCTGCAACAATGGAAGCATCGTCCGTTTCAAGTTCATTTACCAGAAAACAAAATATTTCAAAATTTCCTGCATAATAATTAAATTTAACCAGGTTCCCAGACATGTAATTACTACAGTTGAGGAGACTGGCGTGCCTCTAACTCTTTTTTTTTTTCAAGTGCTGTATTATAGTTCGCGGTGTCACAAAGATTTTCTCCTCGTTAGCCACTAAATTCTTTACATATGGCTAAAGCACATGAACCGTTTCACGGACGCTGTGCAAAGCATGTGCTGTACATATAACAAGCATCAACTTAGGATAGCTTACTGAAAATCCTTCTGCTGCTCCTTTCAGGTGCGGTGTGTCACCTGTAACTAGCAACAACACATCAATTTCAAACCATCTGACCACAGAGTCTGCATAGCTTCACTGAAAATGTAAGCTTCGTGTGCGTGATTCACTGCAGTTATTTCCAGGCATGACTGAAGCAATGATTTCCCTGATAGTTTCTCAAAACCATAATGACATCGTCTGCAACTTTTCTTCCACTTCCATTGTTCGTTTCGTTTATGGACCGTATAATATTTTCTTACCCACACAATATTTGAATTCCTTTTCATGTTCTTTATAGCACTTAGGTGAATAGTTTTGTTTAACGATGATTCGTGTGGAGGATTTATCTGCGTAAACTTCTTCCTCCTACCCTGAAACATTATGCTTTCTGGCCTGTGCGCATTCAGTGCTAATTAATCCTGAAATATGAATATTAGTGGATAAAACTGCTTGGGTGATCAGCCCTTCGCATAGCCCCTATACAGGACAATAAAGACATATAATAAAAGTAGACAGATATCCATGACTCGAGTTAGTTTCGAACCCAAGATTACAGTGTTTGAGTGGGAGAAGACATTTCATGCCTTAGACCCGTGGTCACTGCGCGGCCACTGTGGTCAGCTGAATACAGATAGCGAGTATTTCATAATTTCCGGATTATTTATCTCAAAATGTGTCATGTCTGTGGGCACATTTGCTTTGCACAGATCTGTCGCAAAAATGGAAAATTTGGAAGGTCCTGAAAAATAACCTTTTGCAGAAGGAGATAAATGGCCAGGAGCCGCTCTGTTCACAGCAAGTACAATGTTTATCCACAAGTATGTTACGTCTCCTTTTTCTCCTTGTGCGTCCTGCTACCATAACTAGGAGCGAAGCGGCTGCGAACATATTTATAGGACCGTTTCGACTTGCCTGTAAGTGTAGAACACGAATTGTATACTCAAGAACGCGATTCAGACTTATCCTGCATACGCAATAATAGTAGCAAGTTGAACTTCACATTGATTTTCTTGAGCTTAAACAGCTAAAAATTAAGAGTTGTCTTTATTTTTCTTTTGTCTAGAAATCCGTTCCTAAGACTTTGGTAAACCGAAACGGAAAGGGCTGGGATTCAAGTGGTGGGGGTTATTTCAAGGAACAAGTTCAGCACTCGCCCGGAATGGCTGAAAACTTTAGCCAGGATACTTCTCTTTTGACATAAATTGTAACTGGTTACAGAATCATGATTTTGGCCTAAGTAATATTTTCTGACATGAAAATTGGGCTATTGTTCTCTCCAATTGGTGAAGAATATCTCGTTGGATTTTATAGGAACCGCTACACATCTGGTGATAAATACCATAAAATGTCTCAATTTAATGGCAATATAAGATACTCTTAAAACAAAGGTTAATAAAAGCAAACATCTGACTTATCTTTCAATATTTTTTAAGCAATGACAAAGCTAAACAAAAAGGAGGAAAGCTTAAAATGCAGGGCGTTGAAACACTCTGGAGAGCTCAATCTTTAGTGCTACTTCGGGAGTTACTTGACCGTTATTTTTATGCAATTCACTATGTTAGAATTCCTAATATCTCACTTGGGTTGAAGCAGGCGTACAGCGACCCAACAACCCGGTGGTCTTGGATACCATTGTCGTTGTCAAGTCTTCGCTAGGTCGGATAGGTGTGGGAAGCGCTCAAGGTAGTACACACCCTTCTCAAACAGCGTGCGCTTACCTGACTGAAGAAGATTCTTGGTTGTCCGGTGGAGACTGGGATGACCGGTTGTCAGATGAACGCACGCTGTCCGAGGTCTCCGCCTGGGTTAATTTTCGATAGCCAGATTACGAGAGAATCTCCGTATTTCTGATTTCCAAATATAGAATATGAACCCAGACTACAGTGTGTCTAAGGCAATAGATCTCGATGATTCGACGTTGCTAGCACCAAATGTCACACAAATGAACATAATCCTGGGCTTCTTCAATCCACTTATCTTCATATCTGTATCCTAAGGTAAATGTTAATATTGTCCTCTTGTATTCTATATAATGTGGCCCAACAGACATTTTCGGTAAAACGGGACAAAGTAGGACGGTAAAGACAGTCCTGTTTATATGGACTGACTGATGAATTTATCTTGTAACTAAGAAGATGCTTGTATACTGCTAACGTTACGATAAATACGGCTTGATATTACAGTTGGACATATACTCATACGGCAAAGATATATGGTATAATGATTCTCAAATAGTGACATCCCTTGTGCGGTGACGCAAGGGACCCGCCGATTTATTTATAATTTTTACACAGAGTTTGCTATAATAAAGAATCAGCTTAGAGCGTGTAATCGGGAATGAAGTCTTATTTGTCCTTTCTCAATATCACAGAATTTACCCAGATTTCTCGACACTGTTCGATCTTGGGACATATTTCGTTAGATTGCTAAACGACAAATGTTTCATCAATATTAAATTGTGGGGAGGGAGTAAGTGTCTCAAGCAAGGATCCTCAAAATTGAAAGAAACACTATGAGCACCACGACTACCGAAAGCAGATATGCATTCGTTTCCTACAGACGATTCTAATCCAGGACCGAGTTTAACCAGGTGAGCAGAAACTGTAATTCTGGTCAAAGATGAAGCTATCTGAGTGACACTTAACTCCTTGCATTCCGAAGCCAGAAAACATAAATATAGTTTTATTAACAAAATGGCTGCGTGAGGATGGTTATAAAAATTGTCGGACACTTAATGATTCTGGAAATGAATGGACTCTTGATATTTTATTCCAAAAAGTTACATGTCCATTTTTATTTTATATTTGGGTACTTAATATTTGTTACTTGAGACTGACCTTGATATGAAAGGTGATGAAAGTAAGTGTACTGACTGTACCTGCGAAGGCAGAGTGCAGTTTTGGTTTCGGAATGCAAGGGGTTGAGGGTCATTCGGATAGCTTCATCTCTGACCAGAAATAAAGTTTCTGCTCATCTGGTTAAAGTCGATCCTGGATTCGAATCCTCTATGGGAAATGAATACATGTCGTCATACGCATAGTTTTTCTTTCAATTGTGAGAATCCTGGCTTGAGATACCACCTCTTCTCACGCCCATGGCTTGAAAGAGTGACAAGAACTGAAGAGTAGGGTAAAGAGAACATCACAGTGTCGTGATTGCAATGACAGCTGCTGAAGTCTAGTAAGGCAGATCTGAACAGAGAACATCACAGTGTGGTGATCGTAATGACAGCTGCTGAAGTCTAGTAAGGTAGATCTGAAAAGAGAACATCACAGTGTGGTGATAACAACGACAGCTGCTGA